CTCCCCCAAACTTAAATCACACAGTCTCTGTGTGAGTAAGAGAGAAGGAGATACCGAAAATATGATAAAATCATTGGTATATAAAAAGAATGGTTGGAGTGATACCTCAAGTGGGAATGAGAAGTGTTGTGGCCACTGGTGTTTGGGCATGACCTTTGGGCATATTGAGGAGACCCCCAAACTTGTTCCTGACCTTATTCAACACACTAAAAGCAGCAATATATACAAGGATAATCATGGGAATTTTTCCCAAGTGAGCTTGTTTAAATTCTCTTAGTTTGCCTACCTTTGTTTATCTATTGAGAAGGAGAATCATTTCCACCTTCAAGGGTTATGGTGAGGACGTGTGTAAGGAGATCTTGGAGCTTGAGTGGATCAGCTCGGAGTTGAGGATAGATAATGGCCCTGCGCTTGAGAATGGCTTGGACCTTCCCTTGCACTTTATCGTATACTCAATATCTCCATCTTTGAGCTTCAAAGGGTGGAGAGTGAGAGTGTGTGGCATCTTGGCAAGATTTGGAGATGGAGGAGCTTTCATATTCTTCTTGGTTTGAGTAGACTCAGTGGCTTCACTCACCTCCTCCTTGGTAGCATCTCCCAAGTGCTCTACACAACTCTTCTTTGAGGATTCTTCACTTAGAACTTCTTCCTCCTTAACAACCAATGCATCTTGCAAAATTGTTCCACAATAACCTCCATTCAGCATTGGTGACTTGAATTGATAGGAGACTCCCTTGTTGATATTATGGAGGACCATCTTCTCGTTTGGGAAGTCAATGCAAGCCCCCACAGTAGCAAGGAAGGGCGTGCCTAAGAGCAAGGGCATTCTATTATTGCTTGCCATATCAAGAACAGTGAGGTCAATGGGAATGGTGCAAGACCCAATCTTCCGAGGGAAGTCCTTGATGAGACCAATAGGTGTTGTTGAGAAGAGTCTCCAAACATGAGGGAGAAGTTGTTTGGCTCCATGCCTTTGATCCCTAAGTTCTTTACCATCTCCAAGGATATCACATTCACACAAGCTCCACTATCCATAAGGGCATCATCAATCTTATAATCACCAAGGGAGCAAGGCAAGATGAATTTCTCTTGATCTTCAAACTTGGGAAGAGATTTTGGTGGAGGTTTAGGATCCATCAAAGAGGAAGAGACATCAAGAAGCTTTGCCACATCTACCTTGTGAGCCAAGATGTTTTGTATGAGGATCATTTGGTCACAAGCTTCTTGTATGTTTGAGATCTTTGAAAGTTGGACTCCAGCATCACTCAACTCTTTCCTGAACTTGGAGATCACCTTGTTTTGGACTTTGGTGATGATCCTCTTTGGAAAAGGGAGCTTATCATATGGAGATAGCTCAACCTCCTTATCTTCTTCAAGCTTAATCACTTTGGTTCCTTCAAGCTCAACTTTTTTCAACTTCAGAGTAGCTTCCTTACCAACCAGTTTCTCAACCTTGTGATCAACTTGTTTCATAACCTTTGCCTCAGCTTTCTGATCAACCTTGGCTTCAACCTTCTCCACAGCTTGGAGCTTACCACTGTCCACGACCTTAGACTTAGCCTTCTCCACAATCAGAGCATCAACCCTGTCTTCAGTCCAGTCCTCAACCTTCATAAGTTCAGAGCCATATAACAGTCATTCAATCTCATCAACCTCACTCATATGATCATACACTTCAATCTCAGGGGCAGCAGGTGAGAGGATAACATTGCAGTGGTCCTTCCCTGGTCTATGAGAGTTTGATGTCATTGAAGAGAACTGATTCTCCAAAGCTTTGAACTTGTTGTTTAGCTTCCCATAAGCACCATCAATCTTTGTGTTGATATTTCTTAACTCAGTTTCTATATGCTTCTCTTGTCTCTTTTGAGCTTCTAAGATGGTTCTCAACATGGCTTCAGTGTCAGCCTCTTTAGTAGGAGAGGGAGAAGGGTTATCTTGGTGTGGAGGAGATTGGTTGTTTTGGCTGGTTTGGTGATGGGGATTGTAGGGAGGCTTTTGGTTTTGTGGGTTTTGGTAATGGAAGTTTGGTTCTTTCCTATACCAAGTTCTATTGGCATTGATGAAGCATGCCTCTTGGTTTCCCTCAATACCCTCAACAACATTCAACTCAGGTGTATCCTTTTGAGCACCCACAAGGTTTACCTTTCTCTTGCTTGGTTGGAAATGAAAGAAGCAACTCAAGCTTGTCAATCTTTTCTTCAAGAGGTTTCAGATCCCTTCTTGACTCTCTAGTGTCTTCACCACCATCTCTATTGCTTCTATCAAAATCATCATTGTAAATAGAGTCACTCTTGGCCATATTATCCACAAGCTCTAAAGCTTCAGCTTCAGTTCTTCGCGAAAAGAAACCATTGCTAGCAGTGTCTAGCATGCTCCTATACTTTGGCAAGACTCCTCTATAGAAGGTACTGAGCAAGCTCTCCTTACTGAAACCATTAAACCTCTCCCATGCTTCACCAAAGCCTTCAAAGTTCTTTTGAATGAAACCATATATCTCATTCCTAAGCTCAGCTGTCCTTGAAGTAGAGAAGAATTTGGTGAGGAAAGATTTCTTACATTCATCCCAAGTGGTAATAGAGTCTCTTGAAAGGCTCTTCTCCCAAGTGTGGGCTTTGTCTCCCAAAGAGAATGGGAACAACCTCAGATTGAAAGCATCTTCAGAAACACCATTGATCTTTGTTGTCCCACATAGCTTATCAAAGCTATCAAGATGGTCTAGAGGATCTTCAAGGGAAAGACCATGATACTTGTTGCTTTGGATCATGTTGATAAGGCTCGACTTGATCTCAAAGGTGGTGTTCTGAACAGTTGGAGCTCGGATAACAGCTTTATGCCCATGAATGTTTGGTTGATCATAGGCGCCAATGGCTCTAGCTTGGGGTGGGTTAGGTTGTGGTCTAAGGTTGGCAGCTCCTTGACCAATGCCTCCTTGAGGTAGAACAGCCTTCTCTTGAGGTAAGTTGTTGTTTCTCTCCATCTCTAGCCCCAAATCTTCTAGTTGGGCTAGCCTCTCTTCTTTTCTTCTTCTTCTTATCAATTATCTCTCACGAGCTTGGATGTCTTGAGCTTCAGGTAAAAGGTTTGCAGCTCCTCTACTTCTCAGGTTCATACACCTGCAACCAATCCAAGGGATACAAAGAAGAAGAAATCATTAACTATGCAAGTAAATAAGATTTAGTCTCAAGCAATGACTAAATCCCAATGTCAATAAACAACTCAGAAATGGCAACGACGCCAAATTTGATAAGGGGTTTTTATGACTAAGAGCAAATCAATGTCAATCCGATCCTGAGTGCTAATGAGCAAAGAGAATGCAAGTCATTGTATTAAGCTAAATGCAATCAAAGGAGTTGTTTTAAAAGGTAACAAGTAACTAGAAATGTAAGTAAACAAGAGTAACTAAAGCTTTGTTTTAAGGAGATAGGAGAACCTATGGGTAAAGGTATTGACTTTGGGTGATCAAGTTACTATCTAAGGTGAGGTTTCAAGCAATCATTCATATCCTATAGGTCTAGACACAATCCTAAACTAGTCCTTGGTTAAGGTAAAAGCTCATTTGCTATCAATATCTAAACACAAATGGTCATTGGTCTAAATCAATCAAGCAATCATTGAGAACAAGTCTACTAACCATCTAAGCCTTCCTAACATGCAGTGTTCTTGGTTAAGCAAGCAGAAAACATTATTACTTTGTTTCAAGCATTTCATCATACACCTTGTGGGTAGGAAATGCCTAATGATCTAATATAGAAGGATTATGTATAATCTAGCATTATGAATAAGTAATAAGCATATGATAAGAAGGATCTAACACTAATCATCCTAGATCATCACTTAATCACCCTAATCCATAAGCTCAAAGAGAGTCTACTCACTAATCTTCATGTTTAATCATAAACCCATAATGGATAAAAGACTAATCATGATTATAAGAAGAGATATATTCAAATTACTCAAGAAACAAAGATTATATTAATCAATGATTCAACTTTCCAATGAGTTTTTGAGAGAAAAGAAGATATCATTTCCAAAAGGGATTACAAGAGTATTTATATAGCCTTTGGAAGCACAAGGGTTTTCTCTACAAAATGACCAAAAGGACCTCCAAACATAATGGAAATTTTATGTTTGAACCACTTGGCCACGAATCCGCGGACTGCTTCAGCCCGCGGTCATAGTCCGCGTTCCGTTCTTGAAACATCGGCCTCTCAGGCGAGAATCCGCGGCCTGGCTTTTCCCCGCGGGACCTGTCCGCGGTGTTGGTCCATCTTGAGGGTCCTTCTCGGGTCGAAATCTGCGGCCTGGCATTGGTCCGCTCTAGCTCACCGGCGGTCGTCTTTGCTACATCGAGCTCACTGGCCTGAATCCGCGGACAGCCCTTGCCCACGCCCGTGACCCGCGGTTAAGGCTCCCTTTTTGCATCTTTCTCTATATTTGCTCCTCAAGTTTCCAAACTTCAATCTAAGCTTTTCCAAACTTGAAATACCATTCATGCACATGTTATACACTTAAATGGACTCTAAATGTAGCTTGAATGATTGAATGTGCATGGAATTGATGAGTAAATCATGTAAAATCTCAAGACATTATGTATAAGAGAATACAATAGTTTGTGTTTAGATTTTGAGAAGTTTTCTAAACATTAATCAAGGAACGATTATTTATTGAGCTGTTGTGTTCAAAACCAAAAACAGGTTAAACACAATCACGTTTCTACTTCTAGTCACTTTAATATCTAGTTCCATTATAGAAACGGCAAGACACAAAACTAAACACAATCACGTTTCTACTTCTAGTCACTTTAATATCTAGTTCCATTATAGTAGGTGTCTACGTATGGATAAATCATATAGTAAAGCAAATAACTAAACAAAACCTAACACCAAAAAAAAAAAATAGACCTCTTGTTTTATTTTTTGAAGCACTATAACCATTTAAAAATTCATTTTATTTAAGAAACAAGTTTGTACGCTATGCATCACCAACACACTAGTGTCGTCTCAAGCTTGTGGCTGATTGGAGAAACCATTAACCGTGAGGCCTCCATCAACACAAATGGTCTGACCAGTAATGTAGGAAGCTGCAGGTAGACACAAGAAGACCACTAGTGATGCAACTTCTTCCGGCTCTTCAGCGCGGCCAAGTGGAGTCCTAGTAAACAAACTCTTGTAACCAGCATCTTCGAAAAACTGATTATTCACAAGATTGTCAGACACAAGAATGAGATGCATGATGTTAATGGGAAAATTAAAAAAGACATAGTGTTACTGATTACAGGTTTAGCCATCTTAGTGTTGATAATATTAGGAGCAACAACATTAGTTCTTATGTTATCTCTTGCCCATTCTCACGCCAAATTTTTTCCTAGTTGAATTAATGCCCCTGCACGCGCGCACACACACACATATAGATAAACTATGATAAATCTATTAAGAGAAAGATTTATGATCCATCAAAATAATTAAGGGGAAATTGCCAAAAGGGACAAAATAGCTATACTATTGTCCCCTTAGAACAAAATCAACTTTTGGCATGTTTGGACATTCACTATCCTTTTTGTCTTTGAAAATTCATATTAATTTTTTTACAAGGTAAAAAATTATGGAAAAATAGTAAACTTGATGTAGAAAAGCATGTTCATATAAGAAAAATATTTTTGTTTAAAAAAAATGTTTAAATTGTAAATTCAAAAATGGAGTAAATGTGTTAGTATCTACGATCTACCATCTACGGCGATGTAGAATATGTAATCTAACAGAAAGACAGCGTTTCTAAACGGCTTAGGATGCGTAATATATCAAAAATATACATAACTACGAGCTCAGAATATATAATCTACCGAAGTCTCTGTAATCTACGGTTTTGGTTGACTGTAAGTCGTAGTAAACTTTTATCTAGCTCGGTAGGAACTGGATTCTTGACATTGTTTTTCTATCTACAATCGTCGTATACCATATCCTAGTTCTTCGTCTACCTTCTATAGTGGTAGAATTAAGTTCTGGAAAAAAAAATAAACAAGATCCGAAAATCTAGCCAAAAACAGTTAAGTAATATTCTGTAAATCTTTTTAATATCTTAATTTCCTTTTTTAATTTTTCTTCCTAAAAAAATGAAAACCTCCTCTTCTCACACGATTTAGGGATTCATCGTGTGTGTTTTTTCATCTTTTCTTCTTCTTTCAATTCTCTTTGCCTCAAAAATATATGAAAATTCACATCTACACTTCATGTTGTTTGGCTGGTGATAAGCATCATGTGCAATTTCATCATCTCCATCTCAAAGAAATCATGTGTTGATAAATGAGAGTATCTGCGATCAATAAAGAACCATACATGATCAGCTCTAAGCTAAAAGGGAACTGAAAAAAGTTGAGATTTGATGACTAAATCAGCAGCACCCTAGTGCAATTTCTGGGTGAGCATCTTTTCTTTGAGCAGACATGGCTGTAAAATTTAACACTTCCATTGGAATGGTTTTTGATCTGTTGAAGTAATGTGATAACGCATCTCCAAGGACCTTTAATTGTTCCAATGACTCTATGAAACCAATGAGGTTGCAATATCAGGCAATGTCTCCATGTGACATGTTCCTCCTGTTCTCCAATCTCCTCCCCTGTTTCATACAACGAGCAACATGCAACGTTTTCTCACTGAAACAAAAGAATCAGAGACACTGCAACAAACTTACGCCGTAGTTCCACCAATTTTCTCTATTGAACACCAAGACGTCTGCAACTCTCCAACAAACACTAGCCGCTTGCCCCAGAGTTTCTCTAGCATCAGTTTATCATCAAATCTGTTTCATTTCTTACATATTTCATTTTGCTGTACAATACTGAGACCAAAAATCAAATATCTGTAAATAAAGTGCATAGCTTTGAGGGTTGGTGTATTAGAAACCTTTAGTTGGACAATGAAACAAATATTTATAGCTTAATCCGAATAAAGTTTGGACTTTTACATAATGTAATATGAATCCTGGCGAGAGAAACGACGAAGTGGCTACTAGGGAGTAGGGAGGTGAAGAAGAAGACCCTGGAGAACCACAAAATAATATAATATATGAAGATTCCTTCATCGTTTTTGTCTGTTATTCTTTTAATAATTAATATTTTATACTATAATTAAATTAAATTCATTTAATCAAATAATTTAATTGTGTAATCTGAGGGGTTAAATTGGGTTAACATTAATATTAGTACTAAGTGGACAAGAAATACCAAAATGATTTTAAGGGGACAATGAATGAGTTATTTTGTTCTTTTTTTGGCAAATTTCCCAATAATTAAACTAGTCTTGTTTGTGTATCTATACAAATAAATAACTCTGATTGTACATGTTACTAAATATAAAAGAGAACCACAATATTTTTTTCTTAACAGCCCTAGTAACAGAACGTGTTTGCGTTTACTATTGCATTAGGAACCTCATATACTATGAATTAAGATGACATCTAAAATCATAATATTATATATAAACCTGCTCATTCCAACTATGAATGTTTACATACGACACTATTAGCCTTATTCAATATTATATTCATTTTTACCAATTTTAGTCAAAATTATATGTGCTTAAATTTTCTCCTAGTTAATCAAATATAAGTTCGCAAAACATAATTATTTATATATATATATATATGCATACACAATCTTCATTGCTTCTATTATAATTTTCAGTCAATATACTTAAATATCTTTCTATTGGTTACAGTTGTAGATGTGTGTACCTTTCACTAAACCATAGATGGATCCAGAATCCATTGATACAATCCCTGCAATAGAGGAAATCATGACGATGCTTCCAAATCCAGAAGCCTTTAGAAGAGGATGTGAAAGCTGGCTAAGATGATAAGAAGATTCCAAGTTTGTTGAAATATGGCATGAAAACTCGTCTGACACATATTCTGTAGTTGGTTTTGTGCGAATTATGTTGGGTTCCTTCTAGATGGAGGAAATCCATTGGGTTTGGTTGGTGATAACCAAACTTTGATGTTGGGCTAATGATATTTATCCATGAGATTAGTATTGGGCCTTTGGGGTTAGAGAGACACTATATAAAGTCTCTTAACCTAATTTTGTGGTAAGATTTTTAGAGATACACAAGAGAGACAAGAAAATAAGTTTTTAGACAAAAGAGAGAAAGAGGCAGAATTTCGTCTGGATTTGTCAAGGCAGATTTGGAGAGTCAAACGGATTCCTTTTGAGCTGATATTTTGTGGGAACATTCTTCAGTCAGTGGGTTAAAGGTTCACCGAAGGGATTTGAATTTCAACGGTTAGATCTTCTGTTGTCTGGGTTTTCGTGAAGCTGGTCGTCACAGTTCTTCAGCAGTGCTGTCTTGAGTGTTTGGTAAATCCGACGGTAAGATCTTCTCTGTTTGAGCTGAAATTTGGCAGAGGTGTTATTGACTTGTTTATCTTGGATTTGTACGGTGAGATTAGTCTCTGGTTACCGGAATCCTTGTGAGCTGAGGTCGTTTGTTTGCTGCCGGTTTTGAAGCTTTGTTGTTGCTCTCTTGTTGTTGTTGTTCTTGTGTTGGAGATAGCTCTTTGTAGCTAGAGTCTCTGTTCTGTTCAGGTTGTTGAACAGGGAGGATGTGGTTGTACTCACATACATTTATATAGTGGATTGTTGAGTGGACTACGGTCCCGTGGTTTTTCCTTCTCACATCGAGGAGGTTTTCCACGTAAAAAGTGCTTGTCTCATTTAGTTATCACTTAATATTATATTCTGCTATCGTCGAAGTATTTTTCTCATAGATTCACACAAAGTCAGGGGAACTTGAACACATATTCCGCTGCGCCGTGTCCCGTTTTCCCCAACAAAGTGGTATCAGAGCTTCTGGTTTCTTAGAGCTTTGGGTTTGATAACTTCAAGTTATTGTTGCTTGTGTGAATGATGGATAATATAGTAACAAACATGGGCAGGATGATAAGCTTGAATGGTGCTAATTATCATCTATGGAAGGGAAAGATGGAGGATCTTCTCTTTGTTACAGAATTCCATCTTCCGGTGTTTCAAGAGAAGAAACCTGATAACAAGACGGATGATGAATGGAAGCTGTTGCATCGCCAAGTGTGTGGGTTGATAAGGCAGTGGGTAGATGATAATGTGTTGCATCATATTGAGACTGAGATTGATGCTCGTTCTTTGTGGTTGAAGCTGGAACAGTTATATGCTAGGAAGACCGGAAATAACAAGATGTACATGATCAAGAAGTTGATTGAGCTGAGGTATCAGGAGGGGACTCCAATGACGGATCATCTGAATGAGTTTCAGGGATTGCTCAACAAGTTGTCTGATATGGGCATCAGGTTTGATGATGAGATTCACGGTCTGTGGCTTCTAGGTACTTTACCAGACTCTTNGAGGGGACTCCAATGACGGATCATCTGAATGAGTTTCAGGGATTGCTCAACAAGTTGTCTGATATGGGCATCAGGTTTGATGATGAGATTCACGGTCTGTGGCTTCTAGGTACTTTACCAGACTCTTGGGAGGTTTTCAGGATGTCTCTTTGTAACTCCGCGTCGGAAAGTGTTATTTCGATGGATTCAGTGAAGAACAATGTTCTTAATGAGGAAGCAAGAAGGCAGTCGAATGCTAGTACTTCGCGTTCAGATGTCTTAGTTACTGAGTCAAGGGGGAGAAGTTCACATAGAGATTCCAAGAGGGAAAAAAACAGGAACAGGAGCAAGTCTAATAGATTTGCAAATTTGGAGTGCTATTTCTGTCATAAGAAAGGGCACATGAAGAAGGATTGCTGGAAGTTGAAAAACAAAAAGCAAGGTAATCAAGAAGAGAAGGTGGATCGGGTGACCGTCACCGAAGATCAGTTTCTCATTCTTCTTGAGGGTGACGCCACTAATGTCGCATGTCAAGACACCAGTTGGGTGATTGATAGTGGAGATACTACTCATGCTACATCACAGCGGGATTTGTTTTCTACCTATACTACGGGTAATTATGGTTCTGTGAAGATGGGGAATGATGGTTTGGCTCAGGTTGTTGGCATTGGTAATATTTGCTTGGAGACTAGTCTTGGGACTAGGCTGGTGCTTAAGGATGTTAAGCATGTTCCTGATATTAGGATGAATCTGATATCAACGGGAAGACTTGATGATGNGAGAAGTCTTCATCTTTCTATTGGATGCAGGCTAAGGTCTCCAAAGATGCTATTAATGCGGTGGAGAATGATAATGCCATGGAGTTATGGCATAAGAGACTCGGTCACATGAGTGAGAAGGGAATGGCTGTGTTGTCAAAGAATGAGGTGATTCCAGGAATCTCTGGTCTGCACCTGCAGAAGTGTTCGCATTGCTTTGTGGGAAAACAACACAGAGTATCTTTCAAGTCTTCTGCGCCTTCTAGGAAACCCGAGGTACAGGATTTGGTACACTCAGATGTGTGTGGTCCAATGAAGACAAGATCTCTTGGCGGTGCATCATACTTTGTGACTTTCATTGATGATCATTCAAGGAAGTTGTGGGTATTTCTTATGAGGACGAAAGATCAGGTTCTTGGATATTTCAAGCATTTTGTGGCGTTAGTTGAGAGACAAACGGGAAAGAAGCTGAAGTGTATCCGCAGTGATAATGGTGGAGAGTATTCTGGACCATTTGATGCTTATTGCAAAGAGCATGGTATAAGGCATCAGTTCACGCCGCCTAAGACTCCACAGTTGAATGGGTTGGCTGAAAGGATGAATAGAACGATTGTCGAGAGGATGAGATGTTTGATCTCACAGTCAGGCTTATCGATGACTTTCTGGGGATAAGCTTTGAACACGGTGGTTCATGTGCTAAATTTGTCACCGAGTGCTCCATTGGAGGGTGATATTCCAGAGAGGGTTTGGACTGGTAAGGATGTTTCTTACAGTCACTTAAGGGTCTTTGGGTGTAAGGCATTTGTTCATATTCCCAAGGATGAGAGATCGAAGCTTGAGATGAAGTCATGGCAGTGTGTGTTCATCGGTTATGGTCAGGAAGAGTTCGGGTACAGATTTTATGATCCCGTTGAGAAGAAGCTCGTAAGGAGCAGATATGTTGTGTTCATGGAAGATCAAACGATAAAGGACATTGACAAGTCTAGAAATCCAACTCAGGTTTTTGAGGGTTTGATCGATACAGAGGCTACTCCTTCTACATCGGTCCACGGTGAGGTTAAGGTTGAGGTTCAGGATAATACACCCAGTGCAGATGCTCCCGCACATGAAGATGGTAGTGGTGATCATGGTGACGGTCATGGTGAGACACCAGCTGCTGAGAACCAACCTACTGTTGTTAGAAGATCAGAGAGAGGTCTTAAACCGTCGACAAGGTATGATTCTAGTTAGTATGTTTTACTTACTGATGGGGGAGAGCCTGAAAGCTATGATGAAGCTTTGGAGGATGAACATAAAGATATGTGGTTTGGAGCCATGGATGAGGAAATGGATTCTTTTAAAGAGAATCATACATTTGAGTTGGTGAAATTGCCTAAGGGCAAGAAAGCTTTGCTTAATAAATGGGTGTTCAGAATTAAGCATGAGGATACAGGTTTGCCACCTAGATTCAAGGCTAGATTGGTTGTGAAAGGCTACAGCCAAAAGAAGGGGATTGATTATGATGAAATCTTTTCTCCTTTGTGAAGATGTCATCCATTCGGGTTGTTCTTGGATTGGCAGCGACCCTTGATCTAGAGGTTGAGCAAATGGATGTGAAGACTACTTTCCTTCATGGTGATTTGGAGGAAGAGATCTACATGGAACAACCAGAAGGCTATGTGAAAAAGGGCAAAGAAGATTTGGTTTGCCGTTTGAAGAAAAGCCTTTATGGATTGAAGCAAGCACCGAGGCAGTGGTACATGAAGTTCAAGTCTGTTATGGGGGAGCATGGTTATGCAGAGACTGATTCAGACCAGTGCGT